GCCACAGGGCCTTTGCACATGCTGCTGCCTTTCTCTGAAAGGCTCTTCCTGACACTCTTCTAAGCCAGTCCCTTCTCATAATGAGGTCTCAGTGGAGATGCTCTGCCCCCAGAGAGTTCCTCCCTGGCCACTGGTCTAAAGGCGGTACTTACTACTCGAAACCCAGATGTCAGTTACTAACTGGTCATGGCCAGTGGAGTGAGAGGATGTCCAAGGCCTGGCACACAGCAGCATGGCAATCCATACCGGTTCCCACGCCCTCACATCTATGATCTCAGGGACATGGTGACCAGTGTGGGCAGGGGGACGTCAAAGGCCGACGGAGAAGACTCAGCCACTCCTTGGACGTGGACAGGGGAGGGAGGAGGAGAAGGAAGCCTGATGCCCAGGTCGTGAGCAGGAAGAGTGATGACCCCTTTGGCAGAAATGGGGCAGCCTGGAGACGGGCTTGGTGATAGGCATTTAGAGAAGATTCATTCAAAAGGGAGGACAGAAGCATCCTGACAGCTGCTTGATAAGCCTTAACCTTGGTATGCAGCATCTGACCATCTCCTTGGAATTTAAGGCTTGCACATAACGGCGCTCCTGTCTGAGGGACGGGGAGAGACAAGACAACCTTTGGCAACGCTTTCCAGTCCGTTAATGTTATGACAAACCTACAAAATGCCACCTACGTGCCTGAAGCATGTACCATAAAGAGAAAACAATGTCGAGACACAGTTCCTCACCACCACCTACAGGGCTCTTTGGGATCTGGCCCCTGCCTGTTTCCCCAGCCCCATCTTACCTGTGGTCCCCAGCCGCCTTACCAGCTTTCTCTCTGACCCTGACATTAGCCTGGCTCCCGCTGGCCACAGGGCCTTTGGACGAGCTGTTCTCATCACCTGGAATGCTGCCCCTGCTCCTCCTATCCTTGCTTCAGGTTGCAGCTCTAATGTCACTTCCCCAAGGAGCTGGCTCTCACCTCCCTGCCTGCGTAGGTCATGCCCGCTCACCTCTTTCTCCTTCTTAGCACGTCTGGCATTTTAAAACTTATTTGTGCGATTGCTGGACAAATGTCTGACCTCCTCACAAGACTGTGGAGGCTGTGGGTCTGTGACCCTTGCTCATCATGAACCCTCAGGCCTCTCCTGCATGACAGCCCTCCCTCTGAACTTGGCCTCCAGGTGGTCCTGCAGGCACCTCCAACTCAACATTTCCAAGTGATCTCATGAACTCCCATCGAAAATGCTTTTTCCTCCTCTTATGTCCTGACATCAGTCAATGGTCCCACCACCCACCCAGGTGCCCAAGATAGAGATCCCACCTGCCCTCTGCATTTGTGGGTCTGCCCTGAACCCAGCTCTGGGCCCCAGGGGGCCCCAGGACACAGATGAGGTCTGTGGGCTCAGCCCAGTGTAACGCTCTCTGCCCTTCGAATCCCACCTCTGAACCCTCTGTATCATCTCCTCCTACGTTTTGTGTTTCTTGGAAAAATACTGGCAGCATATTTAGAAAAATCCAACTAAACCTGCCCTACTGAAACACAAACATCCTTTTCTCTTACATTTCCTGTTTCCCTGAGAAACGGAATGGTCAAAAATAAACCGATAGCACGGCAATATTTGTCTGCAAATATGCTTTTCTTGTTCTCGCCCGTGTGATGTTTATGGCACAGACGGGTTCAGGAGGCCAGCCCGTCTCCCACGGGACCCTCCTGGGTGCCCCTCACATCCTCAGCGACACGGTGCCACCGGGGGTGGGCAGGGTCTGAATGACTCAAAGTGCCGAAGCCCATCCTGAATCCCATGGTTGTAAGAACCAGGTTTCCATTGCAAGGTTCTTTCATTCCTACTCTTGTCCCGGCTCCATTTCTAGACGGTGAAGAAGTCCCCTATACAAG